AGCCCGCTTAGCATCTCTTGGCAGAGATCAGGACCCCATAGTTCGTCACTCCTGTGGTATTTAGTGACTCCAAACCCTCTCTGCCGTGTGTGTGTGTGTGTGTATGTATGCATGTGTGTGTGAGAGTGAATGAATGTAAAAATTATATGAGGTGTTCGAAATGACCTCCTTTTGCATGAATGCAGAAGACTGTTTGAAACAACTAGAACAATCTATTGCGGTATCAGAATGTTCGATTTTCGAAAAGTGGGATGCCAGCTTAAAAAATCATTTTTTTTTGTTTTATTCGAAAACTGTTTCGAATGAAGCAATATCACTTTGGAACAATGTGGTACAAAGTCAGAACAATCTGGAACAACTTTCAAAATTATAAATTTCAAAAAGTGGGGTGCCAACTTCATACACTCTGTTTTAGAGCTGAAACGTGCAGTTATTTTTTTAAAATATATTTTTACTATCTTCATCATTGCTGGAGTTTGTAGTCTTCTACGTAGTTCATTGCGTAGATAGGCTTCCCAGATAGCACAGAGAATTAAAAAAGAATTCAGTCGTATGTCACCAATTCTGAGTTCATTTCCAGATGTAAAAAAAATTTATCAGAGTTCAGTTCAGTGAAAAGAATTCTTTTTGTATCTAAAAATAAAATTAGAATTGGTGACATACGACTGAATTCTTTTAGAATTCTCTGTGCTATCTGGATTATCAATTATCATCAATTATATCGGAAGTGTTCTTATTAATATAGCCATAAACGTGCGATTAAATAAATATGTTGAATTGCTGTAATCTGCTAAATCGCTGTAATCGCTGTTAAAATATAAATCTGATTTGTATCACATTTTAAGCACTATATTATCACAATGTATCATACTTTTTGCGATTGTAATACTTTAAAAATAAAAGTACTTTCCCAGAAATATTCCGGACTTTGACCGGCTTTTGACAAAGGAAATATAATATTTTGCTTTATTTTACGTTACACGATAATATTCAGATGCTTTTTTTTCAATTTTCGACGAATATTGTGCGAGAAACAATTCAATAATTCTCGGACTTACAAATCCATATCTTTTTGGCAAAGCAAAAATGAAGAAAGTTAGTGTGCTACTCGATTCATAATTAATTGGACGTTATGATGTGAGCAAATCGAGTTAAATAAAATAAAATATTGCTCGTTATCGCATTAACAGTTCGACAGTGGAAATCCACCTCTACGATCGTTTCGCTGTCGCGTCCGCTACGAAACCGAGGCATCGGGATTTCCGCGCTCCTTGCGAGTAATATCCGCGAACAATCAATTCGCTCGGTCTGATTGGCTCGCTTGTAATCGTCCCGAAGGTCTTCAATTGCGATTAATGAAATGATATCTTTTATGGATGCGATATACTCGTGGCGTAGCGGGCTCGTGCAAGGTCAAGGCGTGCATCTCAACCACGTGTGGTTACGCGCCTAGTGTCTAATTTTCCTCTCGCACGTTTTTACCGATCCAAGTAACGTCTCCGCTATTCATATTAGCTATCTGCTGCTCGTTATCGTCGTCGCGCGCTAGGGAAACGCGCACGCTCTGCTATCGACCAGAGGACAGAGCGGCCTGTGACTCTCCTTCCTCGTCTCTCGTCTCCTCTCATGCAGTCTCGGCTAGCCACGGTGGCCGCGCGCACTTCGTTCCAACCCCCAGCTCGCCGGGGTCGCGGCAACGCCTTGCGCGATTCCGTCTCTCTAGTGAAAGCAATCCCCGAGAGATCGGTCAACGAACGTACGTGCGTGCGTGCGTGCTTGCGTGCATGCAGGTGGCTGACCCGCGCGCCGATGACGGAGTTCGACGTCGCCGGGCGCGAGAATAAGGCTCTCGGCTAGCCGGATCGGTAGCCGAATACCGATCTGCTAGTTTCAGTAGCTGACTGACTGACTGGCGTCTACCTCGATGTTCGCGTTCCTCGTGTGCGTTGCTCTCCGGCGCGGCCGCGGATTCTGCACAGAGAACAGTGAACGTAATCGAGGATGAGGAACGATCGGCTGGGGAAACGATAGACATCTCGGTCGGACGGCGATCATAACGATAACTCGCCGCGGCGAATTTGAAATCGCGCTATGAGAGGGACCCTGGAGCTGTTGTATACGTGTTATCATTGGAGAGCTGCGAAGCACTCCGATCTGTGAATACGCGGTACGTACGAGCACGCATCTCACACGTTGCACCTGCGAAGTTGCAACCGATGAGTGCTGAGAACAGCTGTTCGGGAGATTATCTCCGCGAATTCACATGCGCAAGAACCGGCTGTAATACCTATAAGCTCACCTCGGGTTTGCGTTCGCTGACGATGATTTAATGATAAATAATTAGATGTAGTGATGAGAAATGAGTGGAACGATGATTATTTTGAAACAATAATAGGGGACGAAGTAAAAGAAAAAATATCGACGGAAAACGAACGGGGTTGAAATCAAAGTGTCGGAGTTATTGACAAAGATAATTTCGCGTATTTGTTTAGAACACACACGCCGTTTGCAAAGTTAGGAACTGATGATTGTATTATGACTGTACGTACATACATAACAGATGACTGTATGTACACACATAACAAAATTTATAAAAAATGATATGTCGGTCGCAAATATCGATCGCGAAGATCGATGAGCAAATATACCGGTGAAAATATAAATCTGACATAGCTCCGTCGTACATGTGTACGGAATGGAATAACGGCGAAGGAATCTCACGAGTCTGTTACTTGCCAGTTTCACTTAGTTCTCGAGCCAATTTTAGTTGAATTTCCGTTTTGCAATTATCGCAATTATTCCTGCATTCTCGTTCATGGAGGAAATATTGTAATAAAAATATACTACATTGAAATTATATTTCTTACAGTTTTTTGTAAAGCTGGATTGGATTGACGTTTTGCAACACAAATGACTATAAAAGTAGTAAAAGACAATATACAAATGTATGATATGAGAAACATCTAAGTCATTATAATAATTTTATGATAAAACGTAAGATATATATAAAATTTCAAATAAATATATAATAATTATGTGTAGTATTTATACTTTCAATTTTCATTCAAGAAAAGATCGACTGTGAATTAATAGAAGGATTCACGAATGAAACTTCCTTGGTGCCAAGACTTTAATCTGTAATTGATCAATATAATCTGTGTAATTGATCAATATAATTTGTGTAATTGATCAATATAATCAATAATAAATGATAAGTCCATTGTATCTATTACGTGTGTCTAGTGAGATAACTAAACGTGCCGTTCGTTTCAGGAATACAAGTGGCGAATACTAAGCGCCTACCAAAGATGATGTGTTCACGCCGCTGGATGCAACGCGCGATCGAGTAGCCATAGGAAGAGAAATGATCCGGAATATCCGTAAACGGCCGTTCTAATTATATTAGACGAGGAAGGAAGATGAGGAGATTATGTAACGATATGACACGATATTCCGTCTCGACGGAATGATGGCTCACGGTCTAACGATCAAGGAGCAATCACGAAAAGCACTTCGATCGAGTAAAAAACATAGCCGCGATATCGTAAATCAATTCAGATAATAAACAACAAGGATCGACGCTTACATCTTATGGGGAAGAGCAGTCTAACATTATCACTATGATCGCGTTATCGCGTAACTCGACGTGTCGAATCATGAGATAGAAATATAAATCGTGATGATTAAACCGAAACGCCCCTTATGCACTGCTGCTGATAATGTTTATCGATCGATATATCGCTATATTCACATATGTGCTATACACACATAAATATATACATATATGCATATATACGTATCGGAACGGCTACTGTGCTCCGCAATCAACGATCCAGAAGTCTTCCAGGTTCACGCGATTATCGCAACCGTATCAAGCGACACGGTAGTGTCGCGAAGCCAAGTGCAAGCGCGAAACGGTTGTAGTAACACGTAGCTACGGCTCACAGGAAAGGATCCACCTTCCGTGATTTTTGCTCGTAAAAAACACTCATCGTCGTCCTCGTCGTTGTCGCCACCGCAAAATTTAAAACTACGTGATAAACATATCATGACCACGTGGGAGTTCTAAGAGGTGAGACAGTCATTAAAGTAACGAAACTACAATAAGGAATTTTCATCGACGTCCACCGCTGGCGTTACTGTAGATAGACAATCATACACCGGCGAAAAGGAGAGTCACATCGTCGTTCTACCACCGGTAAACGTCGTATTCTGTGTTCCGCGCCCCGGCTATACGAGTCGCATCGTTGACAAGTTAATTTCTTGTAAATACTACTACGTTGACGAGCTAATTTCTTGTATACTACGTTCGATGCGAAATCTGTTCGCACGCCCTCGAATACGCGATGAACGACGGTGTCCACGAAACGACATGAGGACGGTGTAAGAACCGGTCGAAAAACAAAAAGAAAGAAATTAGACTATCTGGAGGAGCGAAACGATGGCATACAGAAGGACCAAGATTGCTCAATTTCTCTGTTATCTCGTAGTAAGTCGCCGCTCTTTTTGAAAGAACTCCAAGAGAGAGAGAACAATGACAGATAAGAATATAACATAAGGATCCATTAAAATTAGTTAATGCACGATTGTCGGGACGAAAGATGTACGATTAATCGAAATTATATATGATATCGACGCAATCATGTTGAGACCTGATAACACGTTATCATGAAACGTAGCATATAACATAATGCACATTTTTTTGATTCAGTTCAATCTGACACGTAAAAAAGTGTTCGACGCACGTAACCGCCCTGTTATGCGTGAAAATCACTTTCACGAAGAGGTAAAATAGTATATCGAGAGAAAAAATATCTAAAAACTAGTAAATGTTTATTTAGTAAATACTAATAGCGTATTTATTTAAAATGTTTTTGTTTAAATAGAATAAATAATTGCTTCTTCATGAAAAACTTAGATTGAGATTTTAAGAAAATTTATATTCTCTTATTTGAAAAACACTTCACATTAAGTACAGGTGATTTGTTATTATAGTACTTATCAAATAAACATTTATTTTGTCTTGAATGTTTTTCTTCTCAATTTAAATATGATTATTTACGATCGAGACATTCCATCGCGTTTATCGATTGACATCTATCTCGAGTACTGAGCTTGATTAGATGCAACAGAAACGATTGCCTGTGTCCATAATGAATACTTCATTTTCACGCTTATTAATCGAGTGCGATGGAGGCGGGCAGTATATCGCGTTACAATATTTGAGATGCATTAATCTAGTTATAGCGTAGCAATTACGAAATTACACGCGTGTACTTGACGTGACAATCACATTTCCGGCGACTATCGACCGTGTTCTGTTTGCGTAGAAGCGCAAACCCCATTGCAAATTACTATTGTTCGAAGTGCGTTGAAGTGCCGTTTGAGGAGTTGATTTTTGCGTATCTCGAGAAAAGGCTAGTGAAAGAGGATCTCCTCTTTGTGTGAAAGAAAAAAAATTATATTAGAGTCACAAGTGGAATACTACGAATTTTCAGGTTGAAGGAACTTCTCGATCGAAAAACACAATAAATAAATAAAAAAACATTTCCCTTTTTCTGTCTCTTTTTCGCTTGACAGACGGTGTTTCGCGGCGGCAAAAAGGCCCTTGACGATGGGCGTGGATTTACCGCGACGTTGATCAAGATACAAAAAGGAGGCCTACGACTACAAAGATGGCTAATTGCGCTGTTGATCTTCCTACTGATGTCGCTGATCGTTATCAACAGTTACAATACCGGTCAATTCCGCGTTGTCCGATTTGGAGCAATGGCCCAGAGCAAGGAGAATACGCAAGGTGAGTCACTTTCATCGTTCGTTGCTCGTTCCTTCTGAGGAACTTCCTTGTTTTCACTCGTTTTCACACGTCGTCACGTTTATTTGAATTAATTTCAATTGGCAAATGTTACAGAAGATTACGTACAGCTGAAACCCATTTATCCCACACCGATCGGCCACGGTGGCTTCTTGGTGCACAATAAGGGCTGCCGGATACCCGCGATGGATCCTCTCGATCCTGCCATCAAGCGTTTCATCACTAAAGAGGAGCCGCTCGTGTGCGAATACGGCAATTTTCCGCCACTGATCGAATCGAACAACACCGCGTTGTTCGTCAATCCGTTAGCATGGGACAAGTTTTACAATAAGTCGGAAGAGATAAACTGTTGCTGGCGATCGTTTCGGCGCACCAAGGATCAGGACAACGCTATTACGTATGTATTATTGGCCGATTGCTTCGTACGTACTTCTACAGATAACTCAGTTTACAACTCGTACTATATATGATTTGTAATCGAAAGAAAGAGAGAACAAATTTAAGCCTTATCGGTTTTATGTGAAAAATGGCATCACATGTGGCCCTACACGGGTCTTTCGATTTCGACCCTTTTATCATATCTTTAAAGTGGTTCGAACAATCTGTAAAATCGTAAATCTGTAAATCATCCAGACTCGAAATACTCATGTAGAGCCACTAAAGGTTAATAGAATATTATTTTGAAACGATGCAATCGGTCCCAGGGCATGTCCAGAAAGACTCGCTAATATGGTCTTTGCACTTGCAGATACGACGAGGAATGCCATCCTTTTCAAGACTCCTGCATCGTGAATACCGAATTCGTAAAGGTCGAGTGTTATCGTGGCAATAATATGATATATAAGGATTATTTCGCTTTCCTGCCTCGCAAGTCCTGGGTGGAGGATAGGTGCAAGCAGGCGCTGGACACAGACACAGCCAACGATCGTCTCAGCATGCTCGTAATCGGCCTCGACTCGATCTCCCGGTTGAACTTCCATCGGATGATGCCGATGACGGTGAAGGCGCTTCAGTCCCTCGGCGCCGTGGAGATGTTCGGTTACACGAAAGTCGCGGATAATACGTTTCCGAACCTCGTGCCAGTATTGTCTGGTTTGAACGAGAATGAGCTACACGACATGTGTTGGCAGAAGCCCACCAAGACTTTCGATGACTGCCCGTTTTTGTGGAAGAAGTACAGCATAGCCGGCTATCGCACGATATTCGGCGAAGACGCCTGTAGCATGACGACATTCAATTACCTGAAGCCGGGATTCCGGGAGCCTCCAACCGATTACTATCTACGGCCGTATTGCATCGGCGCCGAACACGATATCGGCAACACCCACAAGCTAAACGCTAATCTCTGCATCGGCACTAGAAAAACCTTCGATTGCCTACTGCATTATGCCCGCAAGACCGCCGTGGAGTTCGCCGCGGAGCCATACTTCGCCTTCATCTGGCAGGCCAGTCTCACCCACGACTTCTTCACATATCCTCAGCTGGGCGATAGTTCGTATCGCGACTTCATCGAGTACGTGTCGCGGCAGGGTCTACTGAATCGCACGGTTCTCGTGATGATGAGCGACCACGGGATACGGTGGGGCGAGTTTCGTCAAACGTATCAAGGTAAAACCGAAGACCGGCTACCCTTCGTCTTCGTAGTGCTACCGAAATGGTGGCGAGAGAAGTATCCGTTGGCCTGGAGCAATCTGCAACGAAACAGCCGTAGTCTCACGACGCCCTTCGATCTCCACGAGACTCTCACTGACCTGCTGCATCCGCACGTTTTGCACGAAACTTTCCTGAGGAAACGCAACAAGGTCCTAGCCGCGTTGCCCGTACCGCGTGGCATTAGTTGGTTCTTGCCGGTGCCAGAACATCGTACCTGTGACATGGCGCAAATATCGAATCACTGGTGCATGTGCCACTCCAGCAGCAACATCTCCTTAAACGACACCGGCCTCCAGGATAGCGTGTCGTTCCTTGTCGGTGAACTGAACAGAATACTGAGCAAATATCCGCCGTGCGCGATCCTGAACCTGAAGGAGATCAAGGACGCGAAGTTATGGCTGGACAAGTCGAACGGCACGACATTGATGGACTATACGGTGACCATACAGACCACCCCGGGCGACGCAATTTTGGAGGGCACGGTGCGCTACAGAACAGAAGATAACAGTCGTAAATTGGTCGGATCCATTAGCAGGTTGAACGCTTACGGCAAACAGAGTGCCTGCGTGGACGAGTTTAACATGCGTCTGTACTGCTATTGTCTTTAGGCAACGACATATCTGACGAGTGATTAGACTGATCACCTTTTGTACATGATAATTTACATATCCTCAACAAGAGGGAGAAAGAGACCCATGGATGCGGAGATTTGGAGGATGAAAAGACAAGAGAAGCATTATAGCGTGAAATTATTTTATAAATCCTGTGCGATCTTCCCGAAGACGTGGCGGTTTCTCTTCGCATTGGCGACATTTCCGCGTCACACAGCGACGAAGCCACGTCGGAAATTACGCGAGAACTTCATAATCCGTGTGTCGAAAGTATTGTATTTGTAAGCTTTCCTTATATCGCGAACGTCTCGCACAACTTACACACGCACATTCGTATTTTCCCACACATCATAGTTCGTCGATTAATTTCAATCGTACGACGATAAAGAACTTCGCGAATACTGAGTGCATTTGACGCGAAAACACTTACGCATTTCGTTTTAATATAATTTCTATCGAGATGACTGATACAATTAACGTGCAGGCTACTACCGCATACATCGATTGTTAAGGGATCGTCGATGAATTTTCAATATCTGTATAAACTAATGTGTAACGATATATTACGGCGATCGATTCAGTGACCAAGCTCTATACAAATAAAAAAGATATTTTACTATCCTTTATGAGTGTACATTTCGTCGAAACCACCTTTTCGCGATATTGCGACAATATCAAATTAATTCTATAATTATTAAAA